GAGCTGAGTTTTGAGAAGAGCTAATGCATCGATAGTTGCACCTCACCTCCTCAAGACAGTTTGTCCTCCAATTAGTTGTGATTTATGTAGGAATGGTCATTGGGGAATTGAATAGAGAAAGCTGAGCACATCGATGCTCATCCAGCACCAGAGGGTCAGGTGTTTTACTCCTTTTATTCTGAATCTTCATCAAGGCTGTGCTTTGAAAAAGACCCCAAGAGATTTTTCTTAGGAAGAAATCATTTAACACAAGTGGCGTTATTTATTTCAGAAATGATTCCTAGGCTGCTGCATAAATACTAATGACGTGTATAACAATGTGTTCCACCTTGGAATTTGCAGCAAAAGTCACAGAGATGTTGGCTTTCTGTGTGGGAGAGGCAGCTCTTCACCACACAGAAAAGCCTTGTAGTCAGGTGTGCCTGCTGCTTTTCTCCACACCCCCTTCCCTTAAATGACTCTAGACTTTATAAAAAGAAAACCAGAGATTTGACCAAAGAGGAATAGTGTGGGTGAGATCTATCTAACCACAGTCCTCAGGACAAATACTTATTTCTGATGGATGTGGAGATATGTGATGTGTTATATCCAATATGGTCTCTAATACACTAAGCATTGCGGGGTACAAGGATGACCAGAAAATGGTGAGTGACATTGAGGATTTCCATCTGGAGGGTCAGTAGCTCTGGAGAGTGAGGTAGACCAGCCCCTTTTCTCTGTATGTCTCTACCACTGCCACCTAGTATGAGTTACCATGGTCTCCTCTCCCCTGAACTGTAGCAGGCTCTCCTGGACTCTGACTGTTGTGCCCAAAAGATTTGTTGTACCTGAAAAATGTGTTAGAGATCTCCAGAGAAATAGAACCTACACCTCTGTATAAGATAGATGGAGGAATGGATAGACAGACTGGTATCTTCTTTACTGAGTCAAATGCTAATTTCATCTGGAAACAACCTCATGGACATAACCAGAAGTAATGTTTAATCTGAGCACCTTTTGGCTCATAGAGTTAAAATTAATCATCAAAAAGTTTATCTAGATTTAGGGAGTAATGCAATGAAGCAAAGAAGATAAAAACAGAAAAGACAAGGGGGTCATCTAGGAGGAGTTTTAACTTGCAGAAAAGTTTCTGAGGAGTTCTAGGGAGCTGAGGAGCAGTGGGTCAAGGAGCAGGTGGGTAATGAAGTACATGTCACAGTCTTCACATTTCTTAGAATGAACAGGTTTGAGCACTAGCCTTGACAATGAAAACTCCTCATTAAAAAGAAAGAATCAAGCCTGTTCTGAGGCACCGTGAGAGAAGTCTGAAAAGGGGAAGATAGAAGCTTCAACTTAATGGTAATTAAGAAAGGAATGTTCCGGAAGAGACAGGCAGTGCTGGAGATCAAATCCAGGGCCTCACCTGGGCAAGTGCTCTACCCAAGCCCCACAACTCAGCCACATATTCATTCAAATCTTCTGCGTATCTTTTTAAGTTGGATTGTTTTTTTTTTCTTTATTGAGTTTTGAGTTTTAAACTCTCAATATAAGTAATTTAGCAGAAACAATGATTTACAGACATTTTCTCCAAATTTATAACTTCTCGGTCTCTTGAAGAACAGAAGTTTTTGATTCTGTTGAAATTCTACTTCTTAATGACTTTTTTCTTTAACTATACTCTTGGTTTATCTGTGTCTGCCTAACCCCAGGTCACAAAGATTGTCTTCTAAAAGTTTTACCATTTGAGATCTTTACCTTTAGGTCTATCATCCTTTTGACCTACTTTTTATGCAGGGTACAAACTACAAGCTGAAGTTCCCTTTTTGTGTGTGGTTATTGGTTGTTCTAGTATCATTTGTCGAAAAAGCTTCCTTTCCCCACTTTGCAGTTTTTTTGAAACCAGTTCTCCATATATGTGCAGAATCTTTTTCTGGCCTCTCTTGTATACTATGGATCTGTTTGTCTGTTTCCATGTCAGCAGCACATTGTCTTGATGAGTTTATTTTTGTAACAAATCTTTCAATCAGATCAGGTAAGTCAACATTGTCTTCTTTTTTCAAATTTGTTTTTGTTCTTCCAGCCTTTTGCTTTTCCATATGAATTTTTATAATCCATTTACTATATTCTACAAAAACTTACAAACCTGCTGGAATTTTGGTTAAGATATCTAATGATCTGTAAATCAAATTGGAGAGAATTAGTATCTTAATTGTACTGAGTTTTCTAACCCATGATCACCATATCTCTTCATTTGAACTTAAGATTCATTTGGGGATTTTTGGCCTCTCGTTGATTCCTCCAGTGGTTGAACATGAGATGTTTTTACATTTATTTAAGACATTACTGTCTTTCAACAATGTTTTGTAACTTTCATTGTCCATCTTGTATTCCTTTGATTAAATATGTTTTCCTAAGTATTTTCTTAGTGCTATTATGAATAGAAGTTTTTTCTTTGTTGGTTTATTAGCTGTTTTGTTAGGGTTCTCCAGAGAAACAGAACCTTGGCTGCGTATACGGACAGTTCCAAATTTACATGATTTGACTTAGGAGTTTTCAAGTTATATGATGACACAAAAGTGAACTTACACAGCCATTCTGTTTTTTGCACTTTCAATACAGTGTTCAGTAAATTGCATGAGACAGTCTATACTCCATTGTAAAATAGGTTTTGTGTTAGATGATTTTGCCCAACTGTTGACCCTGAGCACGTGTGAGGTAGATAGACTAAGCTATGATGTTCAATAGGTTAGGTAAGTGCAGGCATTTTTTTTGTGTTCTTTTTTCATTAATTCTTTTTTTTTTCTCACAATAAGCATATATATTACTCTGGCATTTCTTTTTGTAGTTATTTTTAGTTTATAATAGGCATATCTAACTTACTATATGTTTTGCCTTATGATGGATTTATTCTAATAATCTAACATAACCCCATTGTGAATCAAGGAGCATCTACACACACACAAACACACACACACACACACACACACACACACACACACGGGGCGGGGGGAGAGGATGGTGGGTAGAGAGATTAGTGATACTTTAAGGAATCGGCTCCTATGATTATGGAGACTGGCAAATTCAAAATCTGCAGGCCAGAAACCCAAGGAATAGCTGATGTTGCCACCCAAGTGTCAAGGCCACCTGCTGGCAGAGTGCCTTCCTGCTCTGGGGAACTCAGTCTCCTGCTCTTTGGGCCTTCAGCTGATTAGATGAGGCCCACTGTGTCTAGGAGGACACACTGCCTTATTCAAAGTCCACCTATTTAAATGTTAATCTTCTCCCAAAATACCCCACCAAAACATCCAGAACAGTGTTTGACCATGTATCTGGGCACCATGGGCCAGCCAAGTTGACATATCCATTGCAGCTATGACTGTTTTTGTTATTTTAGTGGTTGCTTCAGGCTTAGCAGACTGTATCTTCACTTGGTATTATACTACTTCATGTATCATTTAAGAACCTCACAGGAGTTCACTTCCATTTCTCCCATCCCAAGTTTTGCTGTCTGGTCATATATTTTGCTTTTTTGTATGTTATAAACTCTGAACTATGTGGTCATTTGGTAGGTGAGACTAAAGCATTGCTCAGTCTGGGGCTGATTATTTGTTACTAATGAGATAAGACTCTTCTGAGTGTTCTACCCAATGTTTCACGAATCTTGAGGTTCTCCAGTCTGGCTGGTAGGATGGGCATTCTTCCTGGCCCAGTGTGAGCATGGAAGCTTCTGTCCTCTCTTCATTTGAAGCAGTTGTTTCTCTGACTCAGGTAGTTTTCTCACATACACACGGTGAAAAATGCTTAGGTGAGCACTCAGTGGCAAATCTCTATAAGTCTCTGGTATTTTCTTTCTGCATAGTTTCTCTCTTTGGTCTCCCTGGGCTCTCGGCACTGTCCCTTCAGCTCAGGAGTCTGCCAGTCTCTGTCTGGGTTCTTCTCCTTGCACCACAGCCTGGAAACTTTCTCACAACAGTAAGGACTCATCTCATTTATTTTCCATCTTTCAGAGATCATTTGAAAGATCATTGCCTGATACACAATGCCTTGAAACCATTGTTCCATGTGGTTTGTCCATTTTGGGTTGCTTTAGGCAAGGAGAGTGGACATAGCACTGATATCAGATCAGTACATTCCAAGATTGGAATTCTTGAGTCATAAAGCATATGCACATTTATCTTTAGTAGATATTACCTATGGTTTGCCAGGGCAAATTCGGCTAATTTTAACTTTAGATAATTTTCACTAACAGAGTTGAACTTTGTTTCAACCAGATCATTTTGCTGGATTTTATTCCCCAATTTAGCACAGTAAAAAGTGAAGGTGACAGGTTCCTAGTGACATTTTTTTTTTTTTTAGAATATTAGTGACGTACACCCTCATTTAAAATGTATGATTAAAAGTATTGAGTAAGCGGTGGTGGAGAGAGCGGATAATCTGTCTTTGCTTGACTGATAGTCATAATTATATTTGACAGTTTGTGCTTGCAAAGTAATAACAGCTTTGATTTTTTTCCACAATCCTACTGCTATTATATGTTTAGTTCCTGGTCCATTAGAAAATTTTGTGTCTTCCTCTGCCTCCTTTAAGTTTTGGTGTCTCTCTTTCTCCTTCCCTCTCTCTCTCCCCAACTCTTTCCTTCCTCTCCCCCGCCCCTCTAGCAGTCTTTTTCACGTAAGGAGATCCATATCCACAGCACATCCTTCGATGGTTTTTTCACACTATTTTGAACGATTCTGCTCAGCAGTGGGGGATCTGGCCTCCTAGTATGACAGAGCACAGTAGCAGGCCCTTCCTCTCACAGGGGTGATGAGTGCCCTCTTCCATAGCTGCAAGTGGGTGAAGCTTCCATCTCCCCTCATTGTACAGGGTATCTGAGCTCTGAGAACTCTGCTGCTCTGTTCTCCCAGGTGAAATATGTACTGAATTTCTACCAAGTAGGACATTTCACTGAAGAAAGTTACTGCTTAGCGTATACTTTTCAGTACATAGTGACAGTACTATAAGAAAGAAGAACATTAAGAGGCTGTGTCTCACACATTTTTATTCCTAGGCTTTGAGCTTTTGGTGGAGAAATTTAATTTGTTCTTGAGTCAGGTAGCTGATTCTTTAATGCCTTAGTTTTTTGATAAAGTTTTTGTAAGTCTCCCCTAAGAACAGATCAAAAATGGCATTTACTTTGTTTTCCAGAATTGAAGGGCAAGGAGAAAATAAGACTCTATGAATGTAGTTAACCCCTTTTGATGTCTTCATTTTATAATAGTTGTTATTGAATTTAGTCTCCTTTGGAAACCATCACAATTGTCACAACTCTGGGCATTTACTCTTAGTTGAAGTCTGTTTGTTTCATGGTTACATTACAAACAGGACATGTTGTATCTTTTCCATATAAAATGTAAAGTTGTAATAACTAATATTAACCAGGATTTATAATTCATTATATATTTCATTTCCCCTTTACCCCAAGTGAATGCAGATTGGTTTTCTCCGCAGGTCAATGGGGAGATTGTCTTAGGACGTTAAAAAAATCGGGAAACCTTGAGTGGCTGAATCTCAAGCCAAAAATTGTGTTTTCAGGGAGGCTGAAATAAACAGTTAATTGAGAAAGATGCTGTTAGAATTAAATTGGAGTAAAAGAGATTGTTGCAATTGATTATAACCTCCAAATTTCTCTCCTTCTAGGCTCTGATATTTCTATAATTTCTTGGTTCTTGCACTTTTTTCTCCGCTTACTTATTCTCAGAATCTCCCTCTTTTCCAGTAAGAAAATGTTCAAATCCCTTAAATCATGTCTTGATTTTGAAACTGAACAATTTTACCTGAAATAAGTTTTTGGTTTGTTCATGGTTTCTGGTGAGCCCAAGAATAGTTCTTCCTTTAGTTGAAGAGCCATTCATTTTTTAACTCATTCATTTATTCATGCATATAGCAATTAGCACTGTGTATCAATTAATAATATAGAAGACTGTGGTCTTAATCTAGAGAGGGCACTGGAGAATTCAGGTCTTCTGAGGTTAACCTTCCAGGAAGATTTCAGGCTTAAGGTTTAATTAAGACCACTCTGCTATACCTGAACCTGTCATTGACTTGAAAAATAGAATGCGCTTCAAAATAAAAATCTACATACTTTATAGGTTTTTAAAATTAAAATTATAAATGAGGTAAAGAAGATGATAATTAGATGGGGATAGATTTTCAAAGTATCAATGAGATCTTATATGGGCCTGTGACACTGAAGTTGTCTATTCCAGATGTGATAATGCCTCCCTATTGGTAATTTGAAACTATTGGAACAACTCAGTACTTCCAGCAGAGTTGACATAGGACAGTCACATGATGATTAACGTGCAATCATTAACTACTCTGGACATGGTGCTGTTTCTTCATATTAAAGGCAGCCTTCCCAAGAGAGCTTGATACAAAATATTTCTTATTTCTCTTGCCCTACTAAAGGACTTAAACAAACTTCTTTATAAAAAAAAAAAGGTGGGGGGTTCTACACAGACGTTTCCTTTTGTGGTATCACTTTGAAGAAATTTCCTAGACATCATCATCACCATCTTCAACTATCTTCCCTCTGCCCTGTCTGATATGAGAATGTAATGTCACTGGAGATTGAGGAACTAATGCGAAGTAAGGGCTCTTTGGAATGGAAAACTTCTTTCTTTGTGATTAGCTCTTTAAGAGACTTAGAAAGTCGGTTTCTCAAAGCCTTGAGCACTCATTCTACACTTTACTTCCCCTTAAGGACTAAGGGAGTAGGAACTGTTTAGGGGCATCCCACATTCATTCCCACTGGCTTGGTGCTCCTGACTGAAATGTCACCATCTTTATTTTTTTCTTCAAATATTTTTCTTCAAATATGCAGATTCAAGAATATTTTGTCACATCCATGTTTGTAGCAGCTCAATTCACAATTGCTAAGCTATGGAAACCAACCTAGATTCCCTTAAACAAATGAATTGATAAAGAAAATTTGGTGTGTGTGTGTGTGTGTGTGTGTGTGTGTGACACATATATATAATGGATTGTTTCTCAGCCATAAAGAAGAATGAAATTATGGCACTTGCCAGTAAGTGAATGGGACTGGAGACTATCATGCTAAGTGAAATAAGCCAATCACCAAAAACCAAAGGTCAAATATTTTGTCTGATATGTAGATGCTGGCACACAATAAGGAGTTGGAGAGGGAAGAATAGAAGTTCATTGGATTAGAAAAAGGGGTGGGGGATGGGAATAGGAAAGACAGTAGAATGAATTGGACATAACTTTCCTATGTTCACAACCAGTGAAACCCTACATATGTACAAAAGTTATACTCCATGTATGTATAATACATCAAAACACACTCTACTGCCATGTATATCTAAAAAGTACAAATAAAAAATAAATATTTAAAAATTAAAAAAAAAAAAAGAATATCCTGTCAGACCCATGTGGGCCCCAGGAATCTGTCCAGAGAGCCTCCAGTACTGCTATGTGTTTAGATGTCTCCCAAAAGCTCTCGTGTGAGATAACACAAAAAATTTCTGAGGTGAAATAATTGGGTTAATGCACCTAATCAATGCATTGATCCACTGATAGAGATTGACTGGGTGGTAACTATAGGCAGGTAGGGTGCAACTGGAGGAGGTGGGCCATTGGGGGCATGCCTCTGGGTATATTTTGTCTGTGGTGAGGGGATCTCCCATTCTCTGCTCCCTGGTGTGATGCCCTGAGCTGCATTCCTCTGCCACAGCCTTCTGATGTGATGCCCTGTCCCCAGGCCCAGAGAAATGAAGCCGACTATGTGGACTGAGACCCCTGAAATAGTGAGCCCCATATAAACTTCTCCTCTAAAATGCTTCTTGTCAGAGCTTTTGATCTCAGAAAAAAACAAAACAAAAAACAAGTACTGAAGATAGAAAGGAGGAACCAGAAATAGAGGGGTAGGCCTCACAGACCAACCTGGCAATTTCAAGACCTGGTCTGATTTTGAAACTCTGGATCATGTAGCCTATGGATCTAAACATTTACTGTATCCCTAAATTATATCAAACTTTGAGAAAGTGTGAAAAGCAAAAAATCAGTTCTGGGTAGAGAGTACCTTGTTCCACTTCCCGCTAACCAGAGGAGGGAGGATATCTCCCTATGCTCATAAACATTCAGCTGTCTCACTTGGCGAAATTACTGATGCAGCTGAGACTTAATATTTATTCTCATGCATATTATGAAATCTACCTGGAATTATCAGACATTAGCATTTTAGAACAGTAAGGAAACCAGTTCCAAGAAGACTTTTTTTTTTAATACCAGGGATTGAACCCAAGGGTGCTTTACCACTGAGCCACATCCCCAGTCCTTTTGATTTTTTATTTTGAGACAGGGTGTCAGTAAGTTGCTTAAGACCTCAATAAGTTGGTAAGGCTAGCCTCAAATTTGTGATCCTCCTGCCTCAGCCTTCTTCTGGGATTATAGGTGTGTACCACCTTACCCAATGCAAGATCATTTCTCACCTTGGCTTGTTCCCTCACATCAGACCCCAGAAGCCATGTGCTTTTACTTTCTGGACCCACATTGCAGAGGATTTTTTTTTCTTTTTTTGTCAGTCACCTCTGATGCAGCCAAAGAGCAGCACTAGTGAGATTCTATGTGAACGATCCTCTTTTCTTGCTCAGATTATTTATTTGTCTTCAGCAGTCTTTAAAACCAAAGTGTCTGCCCATTAGACTCCAACTGAACTGGGAGCTGAGGCACACCACCAACCCAGTCTTCCCTAAATCATGAGGTCATGAGAGGACTGTGTTGGTGAATCCTAAAGATATGTTAGGGATGGTAGAAACTGCAAATTCTGCATTTTAACCACCTAGCTTTAACACCAAACTTTAATGCGAATGTGGTTTGTTCTTTAGCACCTGTACTTTTTTTTTTCTAATTTACAGAAATGGCCATATAAAGTAATACAATGATTTGATTTAAGTTCCCCATATGTAAAGGAAATGTTTGTCAAAATGTTGGTAAATGTTTTACAATACCTAAGACATACAAGATAGAAAGGATACAAAGGAGGAGAGTAATCGTTTTGTTTATAGGCTGATTTTTTTTTGTTTCCTTTAAAATTGTGTTTTAAGACTGAAATAGGAATTTGTATCTTAGGCAAAATTGACTTTCCTTTTTGGAATAGTTGAGACATGATGCTGTGAAAAATGAGATCACCATTGGACCTTGAAGTGGAGAATCTGTCTCAGAATCCCCTGCAGAGTGTGCACTATTCTCCTATTTACATCTCATGCAAGTAGTATGTATTTCTCTCTTCCCCTTCTTGTCAGTTCACCAACTCCTCCTTGTGCAAGACTTGTTTGATAAGATTAGTTGGTACTTGGTTGTTGGCTGTTTGGTGGTTTCTAATGAAATAGAATTTTCTGATTTGCACAGTCAAGGCCAGTGGTCTCCACCCTGTGATTAGAGTCAGGTGTCTGATTTTATTTTTGTAAAATGTCTCACGGATGGGCCACTATTCAAAAGACCTCGTTAGACCATTAGTTTGTGAGATGGAGAAGTGTGTGTTGATGATAAGAATATTCTGAACAGAATGGTTTGTATCACTGCTTCGTAGGATCAAGTCCACATAAAGGTCAAAGAAGAGACATGAAGCCATGAAGACCATTCTCTGTTCAGAGCTGAGAGCAAAGTGACCTAGCTTTGGTTGCCTTGGGGCTACTCCTGCCTCTGATGCCAGCGAGGAAGCGGGGACTGCAGGAAGTGGGAGTGAGAGAGCAGGAAGCATTAGCTTGGGTAACCCCAAAACTGGGTTTCCTGAGTAAGTCCCAGATGTACCACTCCGTGGTCCCAGAGGAGCCATTCTGGTTGTCTTATTGTTTGTAGGAGGACATCTATGATGTGGAGTCCTTAACTTCTGTCTCCACTTGCTAATCCCATGTCTTACCAAAGAGTTTTCTCTCTAAGGCAGGCAACACTGCATATCTATTTATGACTTTAATATATATTGCCCTTCATTAACTCATTTAAAAATAAAAAGGAAGGTTCATTTAAGGGGAAACATTAAAAAAATAACATTTCAGGAAACTATAAAAATCACAACAAGTAGTATCATTATTAGAAAGCAATGATTCAATTAAGTCTTATTTAATGAGCATCCTGTACCCAATAAAATGTGACATTTGACACTGCAGTAAAAAATTATAATAGAAAGAGCACTGAAATTCATTGTTTAAGTTGCAATTTTTCCAATTTTTAACTGACAACTTAGGAAAGTCAGCTCTTTCTGTGCCTCAGATTCCTTATCTATAAAATAATGGTCAGATAATGGCAATGATTAGCACAGGTATTATCAATCTCAAGAGCAAAGCTAGAAGCTATATAAAATGGATTTTTTAAAATATTAAATTCTATTTTGAAAAAGCACTATGTCAATTTATAATCCTATAACACAAACCGGTAGGAAATAAATCCCCATGAGGATCTTCTAAGTTATCTATATCGTATATATTTTAGAACTGGGGGACACAATAACAGTCTGGTTTTGTTTATAGGCTGATTTTTGTTTTTTTACAAATTTCTCAGAGAAGCAAACACTGAATATTTAATGCAAGCTTGAAATTAACCCATTTTTTGAAATGAACATTGAGTGTGATGTGAATGAAATAACATGCTGGAGGGAACCTACTTGGATAAAGGGATCAAAAAGTAAACTGAGTACAAAAAGGAAGGGGCGATGAGATGAACTTGGGAGGTACCCAAGCTCATGCAGGCCTTTTTGTTGTTTATTTTGGTTTTGGCAGTACCAGTGATTGAACCACATCCCTAGCCCTTTTTATTTATTTATTTATTTTATTTTGAGATAGGATCTCACTAGATTGCTTACAGCCTCACTATGTTGCTAAGGCTAGCCTTGAACCTGCGATCTTCCTGCCTCAGCCTCCCAAAGTTTTTTTTTTTTTTTAATTTCATTTTTTCGTTGTTAATGGACTTTATTTTATTTATTTTCATGTGGTGCTGAGAATTGAATCTGGTGCCTCACTCATGCTAGGCAAATGCCCTACCACTGAGCCACAACCCCATCCCATCCCAGAGTTTTTAAAAGATATTTCAGTCCTCTACTTAAGTTTGAACAGACAGGTTTGGGTAATCATAGAAGTCCCTAACAGGATGACTATGTCAGGCCTCAGATGTGGCTGCTTCTGGAAGCCTCCCTGACTTCCCTCAACTCCATCTTCATCCTTAAAGCCCCCACCCAAACACCTCAGATCCTCAGATGATTTGTATATCCTACTATTATATTTTAGAACTCTTCTGCATAATTCTTTTTTTTTTCTTTGCCGCACTGGGAATGGAACCCAGGGGTACTCTACCACTAAGCTACACCCCCAGCCTTTTTTATTTTAAGATAGGCTCTCCCCAGTCTGCCTGGCTTCTTTTGCATAATTCTTATCCCCTAATCACATCCAAATTCGTGATTCAAGATCTTATCTTACATAATCTTCAAATTGCCTTCAAAACTTGAATGTTCCATAAATATTTGTTGAATGAATTAATACATAAGTTCATTGATTCCCAGCAATTAATATGCATTTGAATCACTTGGGAGAATTAAAATATTCATGCCAGAGCTCCACCCAAGGTGTTCCAGCTCACCCAATTCAGGACCTTTGTTGTAAGAGCTCCCAGGTGATTCTGATGTGCAATCAGAGTGGACACCAGAGGAAATGTGCTCATTCTGGGTGCTCTGCAATATTACCTAGTGTGTCATACCCACTCTGTCCCCTTTAAATGTCTGTATAGCTTATTTTCCTCATAATTGATGAAATCATAATGAAAGTGTCCCAGTTATCTGAACTTTAAAGTTTTTTAAAAATAATGCATGTTGGAGTCTATCATAGAGGGGTTGTTGGATATAGCTTATGATATTACTAATACAGGTAATATGCATTTTCCATGTATGCTTTCAATTAACTTTCTTTTGGAAGGAGAAGATGAGTTGCTATCTTTTATTAAAACAGTGAAATAGACATCGAAAACCTGGGTAACTTACTTTTTTTATGAGTTATGAACCCCCAAAATGCTCAAACAAGGAAGGATTTAAACCATTATATTTCTTAAGTACTCAAAAAGTATGGCTATGGTATGTTTAGCCAAGTGTTTTGATTTTAGAAAGGGAAATTCTATATTTAATTCTATATAATGTGTATATAATAACATAATTTTAAGGCACCTGCTTCAAAATAGAAACTGGGATGTTAGGGAAAATAACAATCAACAGAAATTAAACCAAACTGGGCTCAGTGCCCAGGAAAACTAGCCAGACTCCAAGAACTGGGCAAGGAATAAACTAATAGGGAAAGACAGTGGGAATGGATAGAATTATAACTGTTTCCATCAAAAATGGCCATTGTCCAGTGTGATCACAGCTGAGGAATTTTGCTGGGACACTTGTCATTGTGGGTGGGGTTCCTGCCCTTCTCATTTTAATGACAAACTTGCAATGGAACTTGCCCTCCTAAAAAGTGAATCTTAAACATGCCAGGCATACACAGTGATCTTGCATTGAATTTGAGTTTTTATAATGCTGTAAAACTAATTGGAAACAAATAGACCCGAAATAAAAATAGGAGTTCATAACAACTTTAACTGAAGTTAGAAGGAAAGCCTTCAAGTTTCCCAAGACGCTTAAATGTCATATGATTTACATAAACAAGGGAGGAAATCCTCTTTGTGTGTTTAGGGGTGTGCGTCTAATACAGGAACCCGTGTTTTCCTGTTATTGAAAAGCATTCTTTCTTTAATCTTTTAAGCACATTCTGGGCCTGCATGTATTCCAGGTGTGTGTTTTCTTTGACATTAAAATATAAGAGCAGAGTACAACTATCAGAGGAACCTATTAGGATTCCTATTTATGTCATAGGAGATGCAAAAAATAAATAAATAAACTGAAATAAATGGATGGACAGAGCCCTGGGCACACTAGTAATATTGCCTGAATTTACTTAGGAGAATGGTTATTCCTAATGGGATGGAGTCTATGAAGAGAGGCCATTTGTGATAAAGACTATAAAATCTCCTCTGATTATGGATATGGTCATGATGACTTTTTAACTGTAAAAGTAAATTTAAATAGTGTAAAAATGTCCAGAAGCTGTTAGGCAAAAATAACTGAAATAATGGGCAGTAAACCAAAACATTATTTGAAGTTTTTAAAAAAAAAAAAGTTTGCTAAGTACTGGCTAGGAGCAAGGAGGGAGATTGTACTGAGACCATAGGGACTCTTCAGAGCTGGGCTTGTGGATGCTCACCGTATCCAAAGGCAGAGTAGCTTCCTTCTGTGCTTTTCTGTGGTCTCTGCTCTCCTACTTCAGTAACCCCAGATACTACAAAGGGCTTTTTAATGCCTGAACCATAGAGACTTCTAATCACCAAATGTGACTGGAGTAAATGCTTTCTGTCCCTTGTCCCTCAAGAATCCTTTTCTTTTTGCCATCTTTCAAGCATCTGCTGAATTATTGAAAACAACAACAAAAAAGAATATGTATTTTCTTCTGACACAGCCACTCGGGCTTCCGCAGGCTGTGATTAGCTCAAATTCTTTGCAGTGCATGGTGCTCTCTGCTTTCCCTAATTCCTCCATGGCATCATTTCTGTTTAATCTTTACTAACTTCCACATCCAGGACTCAGGAGGAGCTTTTAGGAAAGTGCTTTTAAGACCGTTAATTACCTCTCCCACCATTATTAGTCTCTAAATCACCAAGTAAGCAGATGTGGAAATGCTCAGGGTGACTTTGTCCTGGTGCTTGACATCAGTCTGAGAGACGATGAAGTTCATCTGCAGTTGGAAGGGGGAAAACTGCCAGAGGCTAAGGAGGGGTGGTCCTGGTCCTGTGGGTATAGTGACTTCAAAAATTCATATGTGGGGACTTTGCCCAGAATGCCAGATATAGTCATAATCAGATGCAAACTATATATACACTGGATGATATTATAAAAACAAATAGTTCTTTTTTATTTTATTTTTTTTGGTTACTTGAGAGTTGAGATTACTCCTTATCACTGAGGCCTCAGGTATTGATACACTATCAAAATGTAAATAAGCATTATGGTTCCCCGGGGAGCTCGTAACCTTCACTTCCTTTAAAATTTAGCCCTCCTAATGAACCCAGCCTGATGCCTGTCAGCCCCACATGCTTCTTTCCCTGCAAGCTGTAATTGTGCACTTGTAGCCTCTATTAAAGGTTTTTGGTGTTATTTAGTTAAGCTGTTTTTTGTTTGATTGGATGAAGACATAAAGGAAGCAGCTTTTGCAGTTATCTTATAAACAGCTAGAGAGGGGAGACTGAAACTTCTATTTCTTTTGCATTCATATCCCCCCACTAAAGGCACACATTCATTCAGATTCTCTCTATTGTGCATACACACTGAAGGAGGATATAAACCAGCCTGCAGGCCCACTAATCTCCCTGGTCTTTTCTTGGCAGTGACAAACAAGAAGCCCACACAGGCATCTATCACGAAGGTCAAACAGTTTGAAGGCTCCACATCGTTCGTGCGGAGATCACAGTGGATGCTCGAGCAGCTTCGCCAGGTTAATGGTATCGATCCTAATCGGGTGAGTGAATAGCTCTATGCTGGCAGAAGGAATTCTCTTTACAAGATGATTCTGATTGACCTTGGTAGTGGTGGGGGTGGTTTGAATCATCCCAAACAAGACTGTTAGCCCCACATGCCTCTTTCTCTATTTCAGTCATGGAACTAAAACTTCCTATGCCTCTTCATTTCCTATAGAAAATTACAGATCTAGTTCTTTTGTTTGATGGAGGCACCCAAAGGGATGATTGTTGCAGAAATGCTGCCTCCAGTGACGTTCATAGGACAAGGCAAGGCTCATCAAAGCTGCATTTGTCCCCCAATGCCACCAATGACAAGAATTATCTACCAAGAATCAAATCAGTTAATGACACCTTAAAAATTTTGTACTAGTATTCCTTTACAAGAGAAACATTTTATGATATAGGTACATATTTAAAATACCATAACCTTTGCATATATGCATGTACACACTCCCAAAATATCAATAATGAAGAAGAAGAAAATGTAAATTTGTTACTCTCTATTAAAATAAGGGAGATTCTCTTACTACCAAAGTTTAGGGGCAAGATGAATAGAGGTCACTGCTGAGAACCTGAGGTCATCCATCTTCCAAGTAATTGGGAAAATAATACAGTTGGAATTCTGACCATCAGTGTGTAGTTAGACTGTCTTTACTTCTGTGATACTAACTTCCTAGGGACATCTATAAATTCCATGTGATTTGAATTTTGCTTGATATACATAGAAACATGGACCCTTCACACACTTGGGTCGTAATAAAGCTGAGCCTTACAATTGGTACCACAGTCTTTGTTTTAGCCTTTCTGAGTCTTTTGACAGGGGAAAACTGGAAGCAGCAGTCTTTATAGATTGAGATCAGTAGTTATCTCACTGTCTTTTCCAGGATTCTGCAGAGTTTGATTTGTTGTTTGAAAATGCTTTTGACCAGTGGGTAGCCAGCACAGCCTCAGAAAAGTCCACCTTCTTCCAGATCCTCCACCACACCTGCCAGAGGTACCTCACAGACAGGAAGCCGGAGTTTATTAACTGCCAATCCAAAATTATGGGAGGTGAGTGGGCATCTGTGTGACTTTAGTCATCCTGTTTCCTTAGACTTGCTTTTATATAAAAAGATATTCAGCGGCATAATTAAAAGAATCAAAATGCTCAGAAGTAGACAGCATTAAATTATCTTAGAGAGTGTACACTATGCTACATCTAGACACAGTGGTGTGTTTTCACTCTTACACAAAAGATGGTCTTTTTAGAACAATGAGCCACCTTTTAATTTTTCTTCTTTACCGCCTTTTCTATAATTTCACCACAGAACACTATTTTCTGGGTTGCTTTTTTCTGTTATTTCTCAAGATGTTTTACAAATGCTAATATAAAAATTCCATTTGATTTTGTCCCTTTTTTTGAAATAATAGCCAGTCTCATGTTTATTCCTTGGCACACAAAGATGTGTTAGAATGAGGGCCATAAGCCAGTGTTACATGGTGAGTACCATCTTAGGCAGCACAGTGAGACACTTTTAGAGGGTGATCACACATTTCTTTTAGGTGGCAAGTCTTTTTAGGGAATTCAAACTGTGCTAAAAATATAAAAGACTTGCCAATCATTCTGAGTTGGAGAAGAGTTATTTTATATCATTGGTCTTTTCGCTGACCTGTTTTCTTGGTTTTGCAAAATATATTTTTAAAAATGCACCAATTTTGCCTTAATAAATATTAAATGAAAATCACAGTAGAGACTCTGCCTCTTCTCCTTGCCCTTTCATATATTCTTCATTTGAATTTGGGGTGGAATCTACTTTTCTGTCCCCAGCTGAAGCACACACTCTCACTTTGCCATTAGTCTGCACAACGTCATATAGAGAAAAAAAATGTCCAATTCTTTATTATTATCCTTGCAAGTGTTTGTATTACTCTTAAACTGAAAGATAATAATCCAAATAACCTTGAAAGTCTTTCTTAAGCATTGATGCAGTTTTTTATTATAGTTTCTCTGTTTAGTCCTAGAAAAATATAAGAGGTGATATGTGGTGCATATTTTCTTCAAAGTGGCCACATCTTGTTGGACAAAAATAAAGTTAAATATTTAAAGGAAATATCAACCAACACCAACCTCTGTGGCAAATATAATGAGATGGAACTCTCTCTCATGCCTGTGCCATCAGTGATCTTCAAATGAACTCTGCTTTGGATATCCAATCTTAACTGATTTGGTAAAAAGGTTGCAATACTCTGGGTTTTGGACTATTGGTGTCTGTTTTTTGTGAATGAAAAGTTGGACAGAATACCCAGCTTTCCCTTATTCTTCATTAGCTCTTAAGTTAGATCTGTTATAGCCTAAGATCAGATTACTTTCTTGATCTTCACTTCTTGCTATGGAACATTTCCCTCATCAGTGTCAGTGTGGTCAGCAGCTTGTATGGCTATCAACCCTAAAAATAGTGTGCCTTTATGGATTTGAAATTGCTATTGCTCTTGGAGAAAGACTCTTCAAGAGCATTTCACTTCTTCATGAGTGGACAGAAGCAAGTGCAGCTCCATGGGAATGCCTGCATTTCTAAGATGTTCTCTTTGAATATCTCAGCTTTCCCATAAGTCCAACCAGCTGTCTCTGTCAATCATTGACCCAGTCCTTCAGATATCTTCATTTTTGAACACCAAATGATGCAGAGTTGAGATGGGAACCCATATATCTAAAGTTACATTGTTTGTATGTGTATTGGATAAAGTTCAATATTGCTTTCTTACAGTTTGAGAAATAGTAAAGTTTAATGAGATCAAGTCCCAGAAAAAAGTTTGTAGTAAGTCTGTTGTAATTTGTTGGCAGCACATATGTCTTTAATGAATGTAGTCTGTCTTATTTAAACAGTTGCTGATCTTTGATAACAGTTATACCTACACACCCTGATAAATTAGTATGCTCATTAGTCTTCCTTTCTGCCACTTATCACAATCCTGAGACTTAAAAATGATGTGTTTCTGGGATCACTATATCCTGATCCCTTTAACTTTTGACTACCTGCTCCATCTTAGGCAGATGAACAACTTTCCTTATTTCACAAAATATTTTGATGTCTCCTTATACTTAGGCCACGATGTTTATTGTACTTTGAACCATGTTAGTTTTGTGATTTTAGAGAACAAATGTTGGTGTTGGTATGCTGCCCTCCACCAGACTCTTTATTTGTCTTATCGTACTTAGTTTTTAAAGCAGCCTTTGGAAATACAATGTATTATCTTCATTTTACAGAGAAGGAAACAGGATCAGAGAGATTATTAAATAGCTTGCCAAGGGTCATATCAGTAGTGAGTAGTGGAGATTAGATTTCAACACAGGCTCACTGAGCTCTAAAAGTATTTTCCTCAGGGTCTCTGAGTGGCACATGCCAGGAAACCTCATTACACTGCCTTTGGTATGAATGGCGCCCTCTGGAGTTGTGCAGTAATATTGTTGGAATTATTTTATCGAGCACATTCCTGTGTTTGGAAGAGTGAATGGGGGGTAGGAGGAGAGCATTAGAGATTATAATAGTTTTAATTTTTTCTTTGTTATGTCACAGATACATAATTACAATAATTCTTTTTCTTTTTGTCCTAAGTACCGTAGAGTCATTGAGGACCCTTAAGATCATCTTGCTTTTTGTTTTCTGTTTGTTTGTTTGTTTTTTTCACTAGAACTTTAGATAAGGCAGATGAAAGAATGGGGAAGAGATGCGTCCTGGCCATGCTGGGTCTGTGGTTTAGCCATGTCACTGGGAAAACTGAGGCATAGCAATTTGGAATGAGACTGTCAAGGTCAAAGGTCTAGAAGCAAGTCTGACTCTCAATGAACTCGACTTTCTTTCAGACTAATTTTAGTATAAGATGATCATTTAAATATCTATGATCCTATGCATTCGTGCTCTTATGTTTTTGATTGTGCCTATCCCTTGTGATAATATTTTTTATTCTTTGTGAAAGGTCATTTAAATCCATTTCAAAAGTGAAATGAATTCTTTGCATGTTTGAAATTCTTTGTTTCTCCCAAATGATATTTTCTTATTACCAGAGGACAAACTAGGAATCTTCTCATGCTAGTTCAGGATCCAGTGAAGACACAAGTGAAGTCTTTTTAAAAAAATTTTATTATTTCTTATTTATATATGACAGTGGAATGCATTACAATTCTTATTACACATATAGAGAACAATTTTTCATATCTCTGGTTGTATACTCAGTATGTTCACACCAATTCATGTCTTCATACATGTACTTTGGATAATAATGTCCATCACTTTCCACCATCATTAATAACTCCATGCACCCTCCCTTTCCCTCCAACCCCTCTGCCCTATCTAGAGTTTGTCTATTCCTCCCATGCTCCCACTCCCTTTCCCACTATGAGTCAGCCTCCTTATATCAAAGAAAACATTTGGCATTTGGTGTTTTGAGATTGGCTAACTTCACTTAGCATTATCTTCTCTAACTCCATCCATTTACCTGCAAATACCATAATTTTATTCTCTTTTATCGCTGAGTAATATTCCATTGAGTATATATGCCATATTTTTTTATCCATTCATCTGCTGAAGGGCATCTAGGTTGGTTCCACAATTTAGCTATTGTGAATTGTGCTGCTATAAACATTGATATGGCTGTGTCCCTATAGTATGCTGTTTTTAAGTCCTTTGGGTATAGACCAAGGAGAGGGATAGCTGGGTCAAATGGTGGTTCCATTCCCAATTTCCCAAGAAATCTCCATATTGCTTTCCATATTGGCTGCACCAATTTGCAGTCCCAACAGCAGTGTATGAGTGTGTCTTTTCCCCCAAATCCTCATCAACACTTATTGTTGTTTGTATGCATAATAGCTGCCATTCTGACTGGAGATGAAATCTTAAGAGTGGTTTTGATTTGCATTTCTCTAATTTCTAGTGATGATGAGCATTTTTCATGTATTTGTTGATTGATTGTCCATCTTCTTCTGAGAAGTGTCTGTTCAGGTTCTTGGCCCATTTATTGTTTGGGTTATTTGGTTTTTTGGTGTTTAACTTTTTGAGTTTTTTATATATCCTAGAGATTAGTGCTCTATCTGATGTGTGAGGGGTAAAAATTTGCTCCCAAGATGTAGGCTCTCTATTCACCTCACAGATTGTTTCTTTTCTGAGAAGAGCCTTTTTAGAGCTCATTGGAGCCCTCATAAGCTGAAAGAGGGCAGGAGGCTCTGAAGAAGTGTGAAGGGGGAAGCGCTGGCCCCTCCTCCTGCCTCAGCACATTTGCAGCTCTTCTTTCCTCTCCTCTTCTTTCCTCTCCTCTTGTCTCCTGTTCATGGTTAGAGGATCATTAAGCTAGGATGAACCCTCAGCTCATCCTAACTTCCACTCTACCTTGAAAAAATACAAAGCTGTTCATTTGGTTTGCTGGGTCCTTAAGCTACCTACTGATCCACAGAGATTGGAGACGGAGGTGTGGAGCCAATTCTATCTGCTGCAATGAAATATGATATCTTGAATGACATGATATCTTGAAAGTGAAGTTCACATGGGTTGAATTTACTTCTTCTGAAATGGAGGCCTTTACTTTTTCTGTTTACTGTAAACCGAGGTGATGTTATACTGTTAAGTGTGCAATGACACATTTATACTTGAACCTGAAACTACAAGAGAGGCTTCCTTTCAGCTAAGTCATTTCAAAGAAAGGTGGTCTGCCCCAAATAGAGCATCAGTTTAGATCATGAGCATTTCCTATTAATTCAAGGTCCCAAGGAAGACTTTGGTTTTTTTCTTACTTCATTGTTCTTAAAAAAATGTGAACAATTCCCACATGGCTCCTACATTGCTATTTTATTTTACTGGCCTTTTGTAATGATTATTGTTGGCCTTTTATTTTTATGTCTAATATAGGTTGAATATACCTTATTTGAAATGCTTGAAACAAGGTTTTTAGATTTCAGTTTCTGGACTTTGGAATATTTGCATTTATATGTAATGAGGTATCTTGGGGATAGGACCTAGGTCTAATCACAGTCATTTATGTTTCATGTGCACCTTACACACATGTTCGAAGATAATTTTATACAGTATTTTTAATAATTTTGTGCATGAAAAAGTTTTTGTAGCATGCTAAAGGAGCTAGGAGAGCCTTTTATTTTCTCTTGGGAAAACTGTGCCGTGCACTACATTTCAACTGCAATCCCTCACATGAGGTCAGGCATTTCGTTTTTCATCTGTGGTATCCTGCATCACTCAAAGTTTTGCATATTGGATTGTAGATTTTCAGAGTAGGGATATTCAACCTGTACTATGAACTATAGTAATTTTTGTAGGTATTAGCAGGTTCTGTGTCAGACCCACAAAGTAGGTTTTTTGCAAACCTTTTTTAGTTTTCCCAGTAAGTGAGATATAGGGAAAAATGATTTATTCTTCAAGGCAAGCATAAATTGAAGCATATCCTGGCATTTTTCTTGAACTTCATGCCTAAACTCCCTGGCTAACTCAATCAACTACCTCTTCATCTTTTGCCTATTTTATATTTGGCCTCCTTCATTGAGTCCTCCTACTATTGTTTGAGACACGATTATGCACATTCTCATTAATTTCACAAGCATTTACTTAGGTCTACATGTCCAGCACCGAGTTATCTGTAGAAATCTAACTACAAAGTAATACCTTCACCAACTTAATTAACCTTCCTGGGTGGATATCAGATGTAAACAGATATAAAATATTGCATAATGGCAAGGTAATGTCTGAGCTGCACCTTAAAAGATGGTTACCAGTTTCCAGACAGGTAGGGGCAGTATGAAATAAGCTCTCTCTTATTCCAACAGTTAATCCAGACAGTTTTTATTTCAATGTTAGCTGTATTCAGAATTTGGAATGTAGCAGATTGTTTTTCCATAAAGCAGGCTATTTTGAAGTGCCATATATTTTCATCAGCAGCAAAGAGTATTTTACAAGCATTACCCTTGGTCTCCAGCTCTTCAGATGATGGTATAAAGCCCAGTCTTCTGAGCACTGTTAGAATTTCAGGGACACGATGTCTCTGATGTCTTCTCCATCCCAGGTTGGCCCTCCTTTGCTCCTGCTAATTGGTGTGCTAGAAAAGAAACCCAAATGGCTTTACTCTGGATTCCCCTAGAGAGTGCAGAATCTAAAGATTCAATCACAGTGTGACTTCACATTGTACTTTTCTTCCAAACAGTGCAAGATCATCCTTCAGGGAGGTGTGCAAGTAAGTCACCTTGAGGATGCCTAGACCTGGGAAGTGTAAAGTGAGGTAGTGAATTATTTAAAACACACACACACACTATTAATGTAGTGCTTTCAGAGAACGTATAACATGTGCCATAATTTCTGTATATCTTCTTTTTGTTTTAATAGTTTAGTCTGTTAGTGAGTAGGCTTTATAGGACATGCGTGAATCTCATGCTCCAACTAGGAACATATTAAAATGGATTGCTTATTCTTCAATAATAAAGTCATATGTAATTTTGCCCCTACTGCTCAAACTCATTATGCTTGTGCATGCACAGTCCCACACACATGAGACTGTAATTCCCAGAAAGATTTAAGTTGTATTAAAGCTATCATATCACTGCTTGTGGGTGCCTGTGTATATACAGAGCAGCGGAGAGGCCAGGTTTCTTAGCCAGGCCCCTGTTGTGACAGAGCAATGAAATATTTCTTCTATTTCTTTAAATCAAAAGGAATCCATGTCATAGTTCTTCTATTAACTATTTTTGTTGCCCTTGAAAAAAATAGCAAAATAACAAACTTCAGTTATTTTCCACCTAGGTACAAATGAAGAAAATGATTCATAGGGAACTTGCTCTAAATCCCTCAGCTATTAAGGGATAGAGATGGTGTTTCAGTCTAAATCCACCACTTATTACCCATCTATTTACTGGAAACCATGACTTCCAAGTTACCTTAATGGGCACAAGGCTTCTTTTCCTTAAATTGATTCAGCTCAGCAAAAAAGGATGTGACACCAAATTGAACAAATTCTTTGTTGAGAGTTGAATTAAAAATTGTTTGAAAGTTCAAAAATGACATTTAATTATATTAATCACATACACACAGAAACTTAATATTCCCTCTTCCAAACTCCATCTTCCTCACTGCAGCCAATACATCTTTTCCTAGGTAACATAATTTCATTTAAGACTTGCCTTATAGGCTAGGGATATAGTTCAGTAAGTAGAGGACTCTCCTACCATGTACAATGCTCTGGGTTCAAACCCTAGCCTTAGGAAACAACAACAATTTATGAAAACCTTCCAGAAAGGAAAAAATTAAAAATAAAAACCAAAAATAATACTAAAAATATTTAAAGTATACAATTAGAAAAGCCCGGTTTGGAGGAAAGTTTTTGTTTTGTTTTTGTTTTTGTTAGGATCCGACCAGTATAACCACTGTATCAAACACAAGAATGTTTTTCATTGACATAATCATCTGCATTAACCAAGCACTTGTTAGGAAGATGCTGTTCTAACAGAAACTATGAGGTGTTTTCAGATATGAATCTTTTATATATTTATTTTTTCCATTTAGGATGACACTACTGGTCATATTTTTTGGTATGTAGGTACTTTTCCATATTTTCTGGTACATCGTGCAATCCACCATCCCATGAGATGAATGAAAAGCAAGTGCTTTTATTTTTAGTGAGAAAATTGAAGTACCAAGGACTTCTTTCTTGGGTTTCATCCAGTTTGGTGCATGATATAAATGACTGTTAACTAAGGAAAAATTGGGTCACAGATGTGTTTTTTCTTTTTCACTGCTTATTGGTGAGCTGTAAGCTACACTGAAATGCTTGCTGTGAAACAGCTGGTGGAGGGTAGCTCATCATCCTGATCCAGGAGTGACTCCACGCATCAAATGCTTTCAAATCATCCCTCTCCATCAAAATCTTAAGCCAAGCCAAGGCCAGCTACGTAAGGGTACTTCCACAGTATCATTTGTTGACCTGACAAGGATTATGAATATATTCTCTCTATCCCATGGCTAAATAATGTGCAGTAGATGAGAGGCTTTCCTGCTTTTAGAGTCAACGGGAGGACTTGTAGTGACAAGAGCCCAGAGTAATTCACTTATCTCTGCCTTTGATGATATCACTCATTAGCTCTGAGATTTTCTCTAAGCTGCTTATATTCCTCTCTTCCTCTCTGTTTTTCTGTATTGTGGGCAGTAGTATATAACCTTGAAAGGATGGAATGAGGACTAAAATAAATTTTAAAAGTACCAGTGTATGCCTGAATATTCTATTTTTTTTAAAGAACTGGAAATTGTAATATGCATATTCATAATATTACAGAATTTCTTCCAGAATATTTATCAAAAGCCTTTTCTTATGAAAGAAGCAAAAAGAAAGAAAGAAAAAATATAGTTTCTTTGTTCTATATGAGAATGAGCTGAACTGTGTTATATGCTTCTCAGATATCTGGGATGCTGAGTTATTTGCCATGGTTGTGTAGAATGCTGAATGTGTTGCACTTTATGTTTGACATTTATAGAGTGCATATGTTACTGCTGACTTACCAAAACAACAGTGTTCAAAATATATCAAGTGACACTGTGCCAGAGTTCAGAACACATAATTCAAATCTCATAGTAGGAAGGAAAAAACCTAAAGCATGCTTTCTGAACTTTACAAAAGAACAGATATATTCTTTTTCCACCATCATGTCTTCAGCCCAGAATATTTCCTTGAGTCTAATTTGCATTCCACTGCCAAAAATGGAGAGACATGTGTCAAAAGTAAAGTGGTTTAATATCATGAGACATGAAGTGGTTATTTCTGAAACAGATATAAAAGACATCCTTCATGATGTTCATACTTGTAGATTTACAGACAAATAGAATTTCTTAAAGAATCTGAAGACATAAATTTGCATTTTGGGGAGCAGGGTACTGGGCATTGAACCCAGGGGCACTTAACCACTGAGCCACATCCCCAACTCTTTTTTTGTTTTATTTTGATACAAGATCTTGTTAAGTTTCATAGGGCCTCAATAAGTTGCTGAGGCTGCCTTTGAGTTCAGGAGCGTCCTGCCTCAGCCTCCCAAGCCACTGGGATTACAAGTGTACACCACTGCACCTGGTGCTAACTAATTTTCTGTGGGGGAGCATTTTTGAAATTTACATTCATAATTTAGTAACAGAAAGTTTACTTTAACAGGATAAAAGTTAGAAGGAGGTAATCTCTGATAATAAAGTTTCCTTGAATTTGAAGTTTCATGAAAAGCTTACTTCATTATCCTTACTTTTCTTATTTCACACAGACCAATGAGCACTGCCATCAGCTCACATTTAATAATTGTTGCTCTGCTGTAACATAAAAACTAAAACTGAAACTTACCTGGAATTTCAATGAAGAGAAGCTGTTCTAAAAGTGGTCATTTAGTGATATGGCAAAAGCATTCTCACCTCTGGATAAAACACTCTGAGAGCATATACTTTTTGGACAGCAGAACAGAATATAATCTTCAGGGTTGGAGGTCATAGTTCTGTTTCTTACCTGAAGTAAAGATAAGAAAGAAACTTGAACATAAGACCTGATAAACTCCACAGGGCCTGAGATTTCTAAACCTTTAGGGAAAGGGTGAATAAAGCAGTATTTTCCTCTTTTTTATTTCTGACCACTAAAGGAAGGCTAAATCACTAGATTTAACATAAATAGTTGTTTGAAATTTGGATATTGGTGTAAATCTGAAGTTGGATCCTTTTTAAAATTTGTAAAACCATATGTTCCCTACCCTTCCACCTGCAGTATGCCTTCTCAGGATTGGATTCATTGCAATAAGCAAGAGCATTAGGGCTGCCATATTTTGCTAATAAAAATACAGGACATATGACATGGACATATTTATACAAAAAATAAAAGTTGCTAAAAGTAAAAGTTAAGTTATCCATAAATTATCCATTATCCATTGTTTTTCTGGAGTTCAGGTTTTACTTGATATATTTTTGTCTGGCAACCTTTGTGGGCATCCTGTCTTTCAGGTTATAGCCAGCCATTCCAAATATGGAAAACAAAATAGGAGTATTGTTATTGTTATGTAGACAAATAAGCCTTATAATGTCCAAATAATTGTAAGAACCTTAAGAGAACTTCAGATGGGGATGTCAAGGGCATATGTCAATCATTCAAAGGTACAGGGTTATCTTTAAAATAGAAATATGAGGCTGCTAAAGAAGAAATGTCCAGAATAATATAGAGTATTTAATGTCTTACTGTGGCTGTTCTACATAAGATAATGCTATAAAGTGCAAATTTTAAGTAGTAGTAAGTATATGAATTCCTCTAAAGCATTTTTTAAAGGAATATTGCATTTCTGATTAATTTTTCATAAGGAAGCCAGTTCAATTCTGAGTTGTCTGAATATCTGGGTTGGTTTTAGGTGTTAGTTTACTGTCAAGAACAATAAAAGGCATTTGCCATAGACTTTTGGAGACACTAGCAAAATAAAGACTTCCATTCATGGAAGGACAGTAAGAAGCCTACTATCTAAAGAACTTAAAGACTAAAGTCTAACAGGAAGTTGCTACTTAAAAAATGTGGCTTCCTCTCAGACTAATCTAGTAGTTTTCTTGGAAACAAAATGATGGCCCCCTGGGCTCCCTTGACCCATGGCTGGCCCATAGGTTCTGCTCCCCTCTCACTGTCAACAGGCACGGAATGTGGTTCTGGCTTGTGCAGCCAGTAGGTTTAGTTTGGGTTTGTCTTAGCTTTGTATGAGTATGGCACCCACAGGTGAAGCCATGTCACTGCTCTATGATCTGCAGAAGATTCAGCAGGTCATACCTATGAAAGCATATTAAACATCAACAGTTTAACTGCAACACAGGTAGGAATGCAAGGAAGCAAGTATATCATTATATTGAAGTAAAAACACAAGTTTTAGCCTAAAGAAGTATCAGAACAAATCTTCATTGGCTTAGGGATTTATCTATCCAAATTTTGAGTGGTTCAGTTGTTAGATGGCAAATACATGTCCAAGTATGTATGGGGGTGAACTGCCTTTGAAACTCTTGGTGCTATTAATAGAAAAGCAACTGTTTGTTTTTTATTTATTTTAATTAGTAGTTCACCAAAAAGACAGCAGTGAGAAAGACTTGGACTACTTTTTTTTTTTTTTTTAGTTTAAATGTCGAAGCAGAAACTGGTTATTTATACTTTCTGAAATTCTAAATATAATTCTCATAATTATCCATAATTCTATTCCTTAAGAAAAAGGATTTTCAAGTAGAATCAGTATCTCCCCTTTTAAACCTAATTAAGAATGTTCTGGTGAGGTTTGACTTTATACCAAGGAGGATAAAGGGATATTTCATCATTCATGTACAGTATTGCACAGAGATTCAACCTCCTTGTGGTTATTACTCTTTATTATTATATATTCTTCCCTGTATCAATATGTTTTACTCTACCCCATGGTCCTTATTTTCACAGTTTGTTGGTTTTATTGATCTTCCTCTCAGTTCCTATTATAAAAGGTTGAAACCTGGAGAGGGGGAAGGGGGTTGTTCCTCACAAGGTCAACGTAGATTTACACATCTGTTATAAATGCCAAAGTTGCCCCATAGTTGGTTTCTAGGAATGTTAGATTTTTCTTGGGAAAGCGGGGGACCAAGTTAAGGGAATCAACTTTTTTTTTTTTTTTTGCAATTGTAAGAGTTTTTATGGTACCAGTATACTTTCCTCACATATTTCCTTTCAACAGTTGACTTTCAAACTTGAACAAGTTAGACTTTATGATATATTTTTTAGATTTTACATTATTTAAAAGTAAATACTCCTCTCAGAATTGGTATATAATTTTACTATCCACAGTAGAGTTACCTTTGTGGCTCTTTCTCTTAATTTCCTATTGTGCTATAAGAAATTACCACAAATTTAGTGGCCTCAAATAACACAAATTTTTTATCTTTTAGATCTTGGGTTGGAAGTTTAAAGTGGGTCAGGAGGGCTGAATTCCTTCTGAAGACCCTAAGGAAGAATTTCCTTCCTATATTCTGGAAGTTGCTTGTAATCCTTGGCTCATGGTCCCTTCCTACATTTTTAAAGTCTCCAGCATAGTCAAATCTCTCTCCTGGTCTCTGGCATTCCTGCCTCTCTCTTAAAAGGACCCTTGGGTTTATGTTGGGTTCACCCAGATAATTCAGTGTAATCTTCCTGTCTGAAGGTCCTTAACTTAGTCGCCTGCAAGAGTCCCTTTTACCATTCACAGATTTCAAGGACTAAGGCAAGGACATGTTTGGGAAGCCATTATTCTACCTATCATGCCATTGTCCTAAAAGCTTTATTATACACTCTCAAAGTACAAAATTGCAACAATTTAAAAACATTTTTAATTCTAAAGTCAGGAAATACTTCATTCCAGAGTAGATTAAGTGTTCCAATGAGTGTAACAGAAGAGGTTGGTTTTACAGACAGAGAAGGGTTGGAAAAAGGCAAAAACTAAATGAAAGAAAGAGGACTGGTTGTTTCAAAGTCACTTGGCTTGTAAAGCTGTACAGGGAGACAGACCAATATAAAAATAACTTACTGGTCAACATCAAATTATGTCAGGTTACTTTCTTTTTAAGGATTAAAGCAGAGGGAACTTCATTGTCATACTAACTGGTCTGTTTGTAAAATTTGACTCTCATTTTCCTAATTTCTTTGAAAGTCTTGATGACTTAGTTTTGGTTTGGTGATATGAAAATTCACCATTGGTGACTCCATTTTGAGTTTTAGTCTGGTCATTGGAGCTTAGTCCAAAACAATGGCCTCCTATATCTTTAATGTAACATACCATTGTATAATACTGTCCTACACTTAATGTTTATGTTTAATTATTCTTATTTTACTTCATATAACAGTATATTTTCTAATACATATATCTTATGAAAAAATATATTAAAAGGAATAAGATATACTTTTATTTACCTACTATGGACTTGGGCTAATCTGTTATAATTTAAGATATTTAAATTTAGAAGCACCTATACTTTCTATGAAGATCCAGTACTTAAACGGCAAAAATTGCCAGGTTCTAGAATGGCAAGAATTTTCTTATTTTTACCAGCTGCTATATTTGTACATTGAACATTCTCTTTATGTAAATAATTTATTTTTATTTTTCATTGCTAATTATACAAGTTCATTACAGGAGTTGGTGGTAGAACACTCAGCTAGCATGTGTGAGATCCTGGGTTCAATCCTCATCTCAAAACACAAACAAACAAACAAAAAAGTTTATATTCTTGGTGATTTATTGGGTTGAACTGTATTAAAATTCCAAGTTCTTTACACATGTCTAGGAAGTCTTAAGGTACTCGATATTTAAAGCTTTTGATGTTGAAGGTATTGTAGACCATTTGATTGTGTTAAAAATCACCCTTTTCCTTGACATGTCCCTTCCCTGACCGCTCAGAAAAATTGTCACAAGGCTTTACTTGTAAGTAACTTGGTGGGGTTCCTTGTGAGAGACTGAAACTTCCTTTTTTAACTTTGATATAAAACATCAAGATTAAGTTTATTTAACACATAATCTCTAAAAGGTGAATTCTCATTAGCTGGTTAGATTTATCTCTTTAATTCAGCCTACATTTAAACATGATTATACATGAGCACCTGAAGTACAGTGACCACATTAATTTAGCAGTTTTCAGTATTGTTTAGGTATGTAATCACTTCACTGTGGTGGTGCTTTACTACTATTAAGATCTGTTTCTACTCAAAGAACACTTCTGACACCAAATTGTAGGTTTTTTACACCAAGCAATGATCCAGTTCTCTATAGACATCAACTGGGTGTCCTATAATTCTGACACTACCCAGACTTACTGTAGAATCTACAGGTTAAACCTTTGGTCCCCAAATGCCCCCCACTCCCTGCATTCAGATGCCAACCACAGGTAGCCAGCCAGTCCCTAGGTTACTCACACTTCTGTTGACACTAATTGGGAGGTCGGTCGCGTGACTTTTTCCTCGGGTTTGGTCATTGGTTATAACAGCTCACAGAACCCACTTACATTTTCCCATTTATTTTATGTTTAAAAGAGTATGAATGAGTAGCCTGATGAGGACATACATAGCACAAGGTATAGAAGGGCCCTGCTCACAAGAGCTTTTGACCCCAAGTAATTTGGGGGTATGCCACCCTCCTGGCATAGATACTCACCGCTCTAAGGCTCTGCAAACTCCATCATTTAAGGGTTTGTACTGTGGTCTCATTACATAAGCACCATTGATTAAATAATTGGCGATTGGTGATTAGCTCATCTCTAACCCCTCCCTCTTCCCTAGAGGTCAGGGGTCAGAGTGCTGAAAGTTCCCACCCTCTAAATCATTTGGTTGGTTCCTCTGGCAACCAGCCCCCCTCCTCCAAGAGTCACATTATTAGGATAAACTCATATATGATTGAAAGGGAGTTATTATAAATAATGAAAGGTACTCCTCTCTCCCTGTCGCTCAGAAAATTCCAAGGGCTTAAGAGGTCTGTGTGAGGAACTGAGGACAGTGAACTAGTA